TAAAGAATGATTGAGGGATAATTTCTTACCATCAATTCTGTATAATGAAGAATGTTGTGTGAATTTTATGTATGTTGAATATTGTTGCTTGACAAAGTAAGAACTGCAGAAATTCTTCATGGGGTTCTGATTTGGATTAAAAGATAGTGTAAATTTCTTCCATTATTATTTGAAATTTTGAACTTTTTAATAAAGTGGGAGTTTTAGTCATTCATTCTTTGTCTTCTAAATTGTGGTGGTTATCCCCACCCATGGGTAATACAAAGGGGTTGTTCATAGCTTCAACTGATGGTCTCAAGTTTGATTTCTCACTAGATGCAAAGGTATACCTTATTCATGATTTCTTGAGAAGTTACATCGATAGGTTTATCGTGGGATAACTTTCTTAAGTATTTAGGTGGGATTACGACAATGATTAGTTTATGTGTGCGTAAACTAACCCAAGTACTTTAGTTATTAAAAAAAAAAAAAAAAAAAAAAAAAAAACATAGAGTATGTTATATTATATTTTATAATAGGGTGAGGCTTTATAAATTTAATGCCAAAATTTTAGCTATCAATTCATTAGAAGCCTATGATCTAGGGGTGGATGAGACGATAATTGTTAAATTACATTATAATCATATTTGTTAAATTACATTATAATCATTTTAAATTACTATGCTTTACCGTATATTTATCATTTATAAAATATGTATTAACATTTCCTAAAATTTATTTTCAAAATAAATTAAATATCTTATTTAAGAATAATTCTAGCCATACTTATTAAATTTAGTAAATATATTGATGACTTTCATCTTTTAATTGGTAAATAACAAGTAAATTACCCACTCATGATAGTCCAGCGGTAACGGCGAGGTAAAGGTGAATCAAGGGACTGTATAATCTATAGTCTCAATTTGATTCTGTGTCAAGTGTAAGCTTAACATCTTTGTGCATGATTTATCTGTCAGGTTAGCCCAGCACCTCGGTAAATTATTGTTGTAAACAGTTTGTTATCAAATTCTAACTATTAATAAGAGTAAACGACTTTTTTTCACAAAATAATGGTTTAACGATACTTTTTCATTTTATAAATTTTTTAAATACTATTTTACTATCCAAATTTATATTCCGTCTCAATTCTGATATCATTGTGATCTCATACTACCGTCATTCTCTTTCTCAATCATCACTCACTAAAACCCCTCAAACTCTATTCTTATCGACCCGATCAATTGTCTACAATTGAACGATTAGTGTTTGCACAACTGCTCCTTTCAAGTCAAATTCTGATCAATATCAATCACCAAAATCTAATATTCTATCATCAAAAGATTTATCGACCTCTCTCTTCAAAAGTCCTAATAGTTTGAATCAAGTTCACTCTCTTTTTGTTGTTGAAATATAAATTCAAATAAAAATAATAATATTTTAAAAACCTATGTGTAAAAAATTATCATTCAATTATTATCCAGGTCAAAAAAAGTCAGTAACTCTTTTAAAAATTGGAGAGTCTGTCTCAGTATTCAGAAATAAAAAATGGCAGGACCCGGAAAATGCTTCCTGGTAACGGGCCCTCCGGTGAGTATATCTCTAACCCGATTCAATTGTTTGTTTGTTTCAATTAAAATCTCAATTTGAACAGATTACGTATGATCTCTCTCTTTGTGTAGGGAGTAGGCAAAACCACTCTGATAATGAGAGTTTTCGAAAGCCTCAGAGTCTCAAAACCCAGCTTAAAGGTTCAGGGTTTCTACACTCGTAAGTTATGCTCCATTTAGTTTAGTTCGTTTCATTTGGCTGGTGATGGTGATTTGTTTTTGAAATTATTATTAATAGGAGAAATTAGACAAGGAGGTGAAAGAGTTGGATTCGAAGTTGTTACATTAGATGGTCGTACAGGCCCACTTGCCTCCACCATTGTTTCAAGGTTTTGTCTCTCTCTCTCTCTCTCTGATTCATTGCTTCTAATTGTCGTTTAATCATATGGGTTGGTTGGCACTTAGCTGATAAGTCTCAATTCGATAATTAATTTATGAAATTATGTCTTTTGTATTTTTATTTTACTTTCAAACATGAAAATTTGTGTGGAAAGTCATGAAATTATGTTTTGTTCATTTGTGGATTGTGCATGGCGATCTGTATTTGCTGTGAAATTTTGTTTCGAATTTTAATTCCCAACCCTTTGAGTTTTTCTTCATGTCTTGGCTTTCATGTCACGTTTTTTCATCTCCAGCTAAACCGTGTTTTTCTGTGGCAGCTCAGAGTCACACAGATGGCCAACTGTTGGGAAATACAGAGTCGATGTAGCATCGTTTGAGTCACTGGCATTGCCGGAGTTGCAGGTTGGTTGGTTTGTTTTGTTTGTTAGAGATGAGTGGATATAATTTGTGATAGACGAATTACCCTATTCGAGGTATTTTTCATGTTCGTTTTGGTTATAGAAGAGCAACGAATGCGCTGGAGTACTAAACGTCTTCACTATTAGATTTGTTACCTCCTTATTGGGACTACATTTGTTGGTTGAATAGTTATATTTTCATTGGATTTTTCAAAGCTGTTGTTTGAAGGTCTAAAGGCATGTGTTTTGTTATCAGGTCAGGGAAGATACTGATCTCTTTGTCATTGACGAAGTTGGTAAAATGGAATTGTTTAGTTCATCATTCTTCCCTGCTGTTCTAAAAGTTTTGGAATCAGATATACCACTTCTGGCTTCCATTCCGATTCCAAAATCTGGCCGTGATATACCTGCAGGTACACTTGCCTTACGCTGTTATATTTCTCGAAAATTTATAATTACTCGTAAATACGCTTACCTTGCATTGCACTGTTGGTATATTTCATACATTTCTGTTACCAACGACCTCTGGTTGATGAAAGGAGTTCTACAATTGATTATGGAAACATTAACTCAAAACACTTTCTTCTTGATAACTTGTAATTGTATAGGATTTTAAACTTTTGTGATGCAAAAAATTAGGATGCCTTTGTAAAATGTGTTAGAGCCACAAGCTAATGGATCCCTTGCCCCTTTCCTATTTTTTTTTTTTTCCCCCCTTCTTCTGAGAATATATTTGACTGTGTTGTCTAACTTTTGCAGTTGCGAGGTTGAAGAATCATCCAGGGGCAACCATTTTTACACTGAGCCAAAGTAACAGGGAAGCTATAAGAGAAAATGTCTCTTCCCAGTTAGTAGATGTACTATCTAGGAAGGTGGAATTGTTTTTGTGTCAACAGCAATAACTGTCGTTTATCACATATTGTATGAAAATGGTCTGATTTTTGGAAATCTTCAGTTCCCAAAGCTCTAAAATCGCAGACATCTCGAAAGTGTTATCATTTGTGCAGGTTTGATTCAACAATTGTGCATGGATTTCGGTGCATCTATTATATATGATGTTAAATTGATGGGCATGCCTGGTTTGGTAGTTGGTACCTGCAGGGGAATGGTTTGTTGACTTAATCAATAATTGAGGTGTTTGGCTACGTAGTCATATATATGTAAAACTTTAGTGGATTGTGCTTTGCCTTTTTGTGATTGAAAGTCTGATGCAGAGTTGATGACACTTTCTCTGAAAGATTTACTAGTACATGTAAGAAAAGATTGGGGGTCCCATGAAACAAAGCGCATATTGTTAAAACCCCTTTACAATAATTTTCTGTACAATTGTCTTTTTCTTGCAAATATGATGTGTCAATTTAATTAATCTGTAATAGATCTCATTTATCAATAATAACTTTTCGTTTGATAAGTACCAAGTAATCAATTTGATTATACATTAGTATTGAGGAAAAAATTATGGAAGTATCATATATTTGTGTCCATTGACTTTTGGACTAAAGATATGGATTGTGGATAATTTCTTGACCATCAATTCTGTTAATGAAGAATGTGTGTGAATTTTATGTATGTTGGAATTATGTTGCTTGACAAAAGTAAGAACTGCAGAAATTCTAGTGGGTTCTGAATTTGGATTAAAAGATAGTGTAAATTCTTCCATTATTATTTTGAAATTTTGAACAATAAAGTGGGAGATGTATTCATTCTTTTTGCTTCAAATTGTGTGGTTATACCCACCCATGGGTAATACAAGGGGGTGTTCAGAGCTTCAACTGATGGTCTCAGTTGATTTCTCCACTAGATGCAAAGGTGTACCTTTATCACTGATTTCTTGAGAAGTTACATGATGTTATCGTGGGATAATTTCTAGAATGTTGAGGTGGGATTACGACATGGAATTGAGTTTAATGTGCGTAAATAACCCAAGTACTTTAGTTATAAAAAAAAAAAAAAAAAAAAAAAAAAAAAAGAGAGGATGTTATATATATTTTAATAGGGTGAGGCTTTATAAATTTAATGCCAAAATTTAGCTATCAATTCATTAGAAGCCTATGATCTAGGGGTGGATAGACGATAATGTGTAATTACATATAATCATATTTGTTAAATTACATTAAATCATTTTAAATTACTATGCTTTACCGTTATTTATCATTATAAATACACCGTGGCACGATATTGAAAAACAATAAATATATAAATAATTATTAATAATATCTGACATTGCCAACATTACAGGATCATGCCTTGTAATTAGTGAACATTATTATCGTATTATTATTATTATAATCAAGAATGATTTTGACAAATTCTATAAAAATTCTTCTACCCCCTCGGCCCCTCCTTCTAGCGGTTGCGTGGACAACAGTGCGTAAGCAAAATATCCAACAATTGAATTCACACAACGTCAATGAATCTACACCGAAGGTGAAATCCGTGATTCAGATCTTCTATAAACACGTGTACGCAAGAGATGAATGCAGACAAAGTGAGGTCACGTGTCATAATCTATCACGTGACGTGCTCTTTCATCCACTTCAACAAGGAAAGAACTGGCATCTAGCCAATGACATTAAAGCACTGGAATAGACGACGTGGCAGATCAATTCGAAATCCCGCCTAAACCCGGACTTCAATTTTTTCATAAATATAATTTGTTTTCTTTTTTTAAGTTTCCCAAATAATCCTTTCGTTATTTTCGCTACGTTCCTTGAGCCCCAAAAAAAGTCCCCTCTCGCACGCACGTAATAAAAAACAACAAACAAATACAAGTTACAAACCAGCACATCATTTGGTCTCTCTTTCTCAAAAACCCTAATCGCTCCAGGTAACTCGGCGAGTCTGTGCGGCGCTGACTCAGTCCGAGTCACACCGATTTCCTTGTGATTCTCACCGGTTTTCGATTTTCTTTTTTCCCGCAGGTTTCGTCATGAAGGGAGGAAGATCAAGAGCTAATGAGAATGACAATGATACGAAGTACGTTTTGATTGTTTATTTCTCGTTCTTCGTCTCCGTAGATCTGTTTTGCTGACGTGTTGTTGTTAGTATGCTTGAGTTTTACGATCGTTTTCATGTTAGACGCTTCGTTTTATAGGCTGAAGAGCAGAGGCGCGAGAGCCGGAAAGCGAAAGGCAAAGGCTCCGAAGGATCCAAACAAGCCGAAGAGACCTCCTAGTGCTTTTTTCGTTTTCATGTACGAGTTTTTTCTTTTTTGTTTGATTATTAATTTTTTTTTGTCGTGAGTTTATTTATTTTTGCTATTTATTTATTTATTTATATCTTTGTGTAATGAAGGGAGGAGTTTAGGCAGCAATTCAAAAGAGAAAATCCTAACAACAAATCCGTGGCTGCTGTAAGTAATGACATAAGTAATTATAAGCACAGTTCTTTTTAATTTCTCGGGAACTTAATTTTTGCATTTTTCATATTATTTTTACGAATCAGGTTGGCAAAGCTGGTGGAGCGAAATGGAAGTCCTTGAGTGACGCTGTGAGTATTATCAGACTTAGTTATAGCTTTTTTAAAATTGACTTTTCATAATTAAATTTGTTTAATTTGTTTTTGCTACAATATCAGGAGAAAGCTCCATTTGTAGCTAGGGCTGAGTCAAGAAAGAATGATTACAACAAGAACATGACGGCTTACAACAAGAAATTGGTGAATAAATCTTTAAAGCTTTTTTAACTTAAATTTGAAGTACGAAAATTTTGGTGATTAATGGGCTTTTCATAATATATATAATAGGCTGACGGAGAAAATGGAGTTGAGGAGAATGAATCTGACAAGTCAAAGTCTGAAGTGCACGACGAGGATGAAGATGGCACTGGAGAGGTTTTTCTTTTATACTTGAAACAATGACTTAATTGAATAAGCATAGTGAAAAAATAATACGGGTTTTAATTAACTGTACTGTTTGGTTTTTTAGGAGGATGAAGATGATGATTAGAGAAAGGCAGAGGAGGAAGATCCATGTGGGACATGAGCAGTTTAGTAGAATTGCTTATAATATGATAAAACATAATTAGTGTTTTAGATTAGATTAATTAGATTAGTTTATTAGTTTAAAAACACAGAACAGAGAAAGGACTGGTTTCAGTTCAGCCTTTCAGGAATTTACTGTGAGCACATATGGATCATGTACTTAAAGTTCCGTAATTCAGTAATTCTTAATGATCTAGTTTCAGTCTTTCATCAATTATCTTGTTTGTTATTGCATCCGATTTATAATTACTGAGACCATTAGTTGCTGTGGATTGATCTGATAATTCTGAAAAACATCTCAGTTTTGGGACCAGTGACCTGTCCTTCGTATCTTGGTTTCCTTTGTTTTTTGTAACTAGAAGACTGCCACTTGCGTTACTTTATTTTTATAAGTTTGACTTTTTTTTCAGAAATATCTGTTGATTTGCAGAATAGGTTGGCATCACTGGACGTGGATTGCTAATATGATACGCAATAGTTAACTGGAAACTTCTCCTACTATTTCAGTTTCTTTCCGTCTGGTTTATGTTTATGTTTCTTCTGACAAAGCTAAATAAGATTTATTTAGCTAAGCATATTCTCTGCACTGTATGAGTGGCGGGTTAATGGTGGGTGGGTAATATTCGAGTTGTGAATAAATTGCTCTCTTACTGGTTATTGCATCGAAATGCTGGAATTGTTGATTTTGTGTCAACAGCAATAACTGTCGTTTATCACATATTGTATGAAAATGGTCTGATTTTGGGAAATCTTCAGTTCCCAAAGCTCTAAAATCCGCTAACATTCTCGAAAGTGTTATCATTTGTGCAGGTTTGATTCAACAATTAGTGCATGGATTTCGGTGCATCTATTATATATGATGTTAAAATTGATTGGCCATGCCTGGTTTTGGTAGTTGGTACCGTGCAGGGGGAATGGTTTGTTGACTTTAATCAATAATTGAGGTGTTTGGCTACGTAGTTCATATATATGTAAAACTTTAGTGGATTGTGCTTTGCCTTTTTGTGATTGAAAGTCTGATGCAGAGTTTGAATGACACTTTCTCTGAAAGATTTACTAGTACATGTAAGAAAAGATTTGGGGGTCCCATGATAACCAAAGCGCATATTTGTTAAAACCCCTTTACACTAATTTTCTTGTACAATTGTCTTTTTTTCCGCAAATATGATGTGTCAATTTTTAATTAATCGTAATAGATCTCATTTATCTAATAATAACTTTTATTTGACTAAGTACAAAGTAATCAATTATGAATTATTACGTTAGTACTTGAGAGAAAAAATGATGAGAAGTATCATATATTTGTGTCCATTTGACTTTTGGACTAAATAATGATTGACTATTATCATTGAGGTGGATAATTTCTTGACCATCAATGTGCTGTATAATGAAGAATGGTTGTGTGAATTTTATGTATGTTGGAATTATTGTTGCTTGACAAAAGTAAGAACTGCAGAAATTCTTTAGTGGGTTCTGAATTTGGATTAAAAGATAGTGTAAATTTCTTCCATTAATTATTTGAAATTTTGAACTTTTTAATAAAGTGGGAGTTTTAGGCTTTCGTTTGGTTGGATTTTGGGAATACTACTTTTAGTATTCCCAAAAAGTTAAACAGTAAAATACTCAAAAACTCACAATATTATCAATATTTTTAAACCCCATAAATTTGTTAATTCAATTAAATACCCCTAAATATTTTTAATGTTTTGTTACGGCGACTCCGGCCACCCTCCGGCGGTGGTGGCCGGTCGTCCGTATTTGAGGGTGGATTGGGGTATTTTTGTTAACTTTAATGTTTTATTATAAGGGGTGTTTTGTAAAAAAACAAACATAGGGGGTTTTTATAATTTGTAAATCCTACATCGAATACCCGTCCAATCAACTTTTTTTTTAACTTTTTCAAAAAACTTTTCCCAAAACACAAAATTGTGAACCAACGGAGCCTGTCATTCATCTTTTGTCCTCTAAATTGGTGTTTATACCCACCCGGTAGTGCAAGGGTTGTTCATGACTTCAAACGACGGTCTCAAGTTTGATTTCTCACTAGATGAGAAGATTTACCTTTATCCATATTTACTTGGAAAGTTACAACGTGGGTTATCGTGGGATAACTTTTTCTAAGGATTAGTTAGGTGGGACTACGACATAGAATTAGTTGATGTGTGCGTAAACTGACGTAGTATTTAGTTATTTAAAAAAAAAAAAAAAAAAGAGTGTTATATTATTTTTATAATAGGGTGAGGCTTTATAAATTTAATGCCAAAATTTTAGCTATTAATTCATCAGAAGCCATGTACTAGGGTGGATGACGATATTGTTTAATTACATTATAATCATTTTAAATTACTATGCTTTACCATATATTTATCATTTATAAAATATGTATTAACTTTCCTAAATTTTATTTCAAAATAAATTAAATTCTTATTTAAGAATAATTCTAGCCATATTTTAAATTTAGTAAATGTATTTATGACTTTCATCTTTAATTGGTAAATAACAAGTAAATTACCCACTCATGGCAGTCCAGCGTCAGAACGAGGTAAAAGTGAATCAAGGGACTGTACAATTTGATTCTCTGTCCAGTGTAAATGTAATATCTTTGGGTGCGTTTGGTTTATTATTTTGTAGGATTTTGGGATAGTATTGGATAGTTGGATAGGGTTATGATTACGAGAATAAGATTTACAGAATATTGTTTGGTTGAGTATTCTGACCTTGATATTTGTGTTGAATATTTGATTATATATTTTTTTATAGTGATTTATTAATAATATTTTATTGCATTTTGTTAAATAATGTATTATTATATACTATATCAAGTTACATTTTAATAATACTAAATATTTTATTGGTAATTTGTCACCCTTAATATTAAAAAAACAAAACTTAATTAATTTCAAGTACTAATCCAACTGTTTAAAACATCAATTAATACATATATGACAAAAGTACTAATTATTAACCCTTACAATCGTATTACATGTATACTCTATTAACAATTACGATATGGTTCACGGTGGTGGTGTCATGGTAAATGTGTGACAGATCTGATGGTATGGGTGGTTCCCGGTATGAAGAAAACTGAGAAATGAAACACAAATGCAGTGAAGAAAACTGAGAAATGACACACAAATGCAGTGAAGAAACTGACAAAATGAAATACAAATGAGAGAGAGAAGAACTGCAAACTTAACGGTCAGTAAAGAAAAAGCTAGAAAATTAAAGTTGCAAATTGTAAAAGTCCAAACTGTCAGGATCAAATTTTCAAAGTCCTATTGTCTGAATAATAAGCCAACGCTATTGCGAAAATCGATTTCAAATACAAATAAATAATAAGCCAAACACGCCCTTAAAAGTTTCAATATTACTCTTAGATCATCTTATAGACTGTAGATGAAATACTATCATCAAAAAGCGAATAATTATAATCCCAAGGAGTTTAGTCTAGCGGTAAAGAGGAAAAAATAATTCTTAAGCAAAACGGGTTTATTTTTTAATGAAAAGTTTAGAAATAGTTCAATATCACCACTCGAATAGAATAGAAAGATAACTATTCTCAATTGAATTGATCAAGAGGCTACTTGTTTTTATCATATGAAGACTTGATGTAAGTACGGAATTCTTTTCAATTGCACATTTATTGATAGTTTGGTTTTTATAACTCGTGGTTTCTCGTTTTCTAAGCTTATCTCCATTTAACATTTTTGGGTGCGTTTGGTTTATTATTTTGGATATAATTTTGGGGATAGTTGGATAGGGTTATGATTACGAAAATAGGATTTTTAAAATATGTGTTTGGTAGAGTATTTTGACCTTGATATTTGTGTTGAATATTTGATTAATATATTTTTTTATAAATGATTTATTAATATAATATTTTATTGCATTTTGTTAAAATAAAAACCCAATTAAAACAATTCTGTGCCAATTGTCGAAAAAAATAAAAACCCAATTAAAACAAAAACCCATCCATGCACATTCACAATCCATTCATGCCAAACAAAGAAAAAACGCAAAACAGCATCCCCTTGTACACAGATCTGAGGTGGGTTTGATCCAGATCGGGGTGTGGGTTTGCGGCAGATCCGGTCACGATGACAGTGGGTTTGTGTGTGATCGGGGTGGGTTGGTATGCGACAGATCGGGTGACGGTGACGGTGTGATCGGGGTGGGTTGGTTTACGGTAGATCGGGCCACGGTCACGGTGGGGTTGTGTGTGCTCAGGGTGTGGGTTTACGACAGATCGGGTAACGGTGGGTGCGTCTGTGATAGATCGGGTCACCGTGGGTGCGTTTGCGGTTGATCGGGTCACCGTGGGTGTGTTTGTAACAGATCGGGTCACGGTGGGGTTCTAAGGATCGGATCGGGTCAGGGTGGGTGGGTTTGCGATAGATCGGGTCCCGCGGGTGCGTTTGCGATAAATCGGGTCACAGTGGCGTTATGAGGATCAAATCGGGTCACGGTGGGTTTGTGTGTGACAGATCGAGTCACGATGGGTTCATGGTTGGGGATCTGAGGTGGGTTCACGGTGGGTTTGTGACAGAGGGATTTGCGGGTTCACGGTGGGTTCACGTTGGGTTAGGATGTGGTATTGTGACAGAGGGCATTGCGGGTTCACGGTGAGAAGTGAAGCACTGAAGCTGGTACTGGATACTAGAAAGTGAAATGGTGGTAATGCAAACTAGGAAGTGAATCACTGAACCTGGTAATGGATTATCAGAAACTGAAATGGTGGTGATGGATACTGAGAAAGTGAAGCACTGAAAACGGCAATGCCAACTGAGAAGTGAAGCACGAAGCTGGTGATGGATATGAGAAAGTGAAATGGTGAAGCAGTGAAGATGCAGTGAAAAAAAAAAACAAATTGTAACGGTCAAAAAAAAATTTGTCAGGATTGAATTATCAGGACAGGATTCTGTAAATAATAAAACAAACACTATCTGTAAAATCCGGTCTAAAATATGAATAAAAATACTTAGCCAAACGCGCCCTTTGATTCTTTGTGCATGATTTCTGTCAGGTTAGCCCAACACCTCGGTAAATTATTGTTTTTAAACAGTTTATTATCAAATTCTAATTATTAATAAGAGTAAACGATTTTTCTCACCTAAATAATAATTTAATGATACTTTTTCACCCATAAATTTTTTTAATACCATTTTTTCTATTTAAATTCATATTTTGTTTCGATTTCGACATCGTTGTGATCCTATACTACAGTCATTTTCTTTTCTAATCATCACTCATCAAAACCCTCAAACTTTACTCTTATCGATCCCGTTAGTCGTCTATAATTGAGTGATGAGTGTTTGCGCAACTGTTCTTCCCAAATCAAATTCTGATCAATCTCAATCACCAAAATCCAATCTTCTACCATTAAAAGATTTATCGACCTTCCTTTTCAAAAGTTTTAATAGTTTAGGTCAAGTTTTCTCCCTCTTTGTTGTAAAAATATAAATTTGGATAATAAAATAATATTTTAAAAGTATATAAATGAAAAAGTGTAATTAAACTATTATTGGGATGGAAAAAAAGGCATTAACTCTATTAAAAATTGGAGAGTCGAGCTCAGGTTAAAGTTGTCTTTTAATTGAACCGACCCGCTTTTACAGCGTCCTTTTTCTCAGTTTCACTCGCCTTGTCTCAGAATTCAGAAATAGAAATGGCAGGACCCGGAAAATGCTTCCTAGTAACGGGCCCTCCGGTGAGTATATCTCTAACCCGATTCAATTGTTTGTTTGTTTCAATTGAAATCTTAATTTGAACAGATTAGGTATCATCTCTCTCTTTGTGTAGGGAGTAGGCAAAACCACTCTGATAATGAGAGTTTTCGAAAGCCTCAGAGTCTCAAAACCCAGCTTAAAGGTTCAGGGTTTCTATACTCGTAAGTTATGCTCCATTTAGTTTAGTTCGTTTCATTTGGCTGGTGATGGTGATTTGTTTTTGAAATTATTATTAATAGGAGAAATTAGACAAGGAGGTGAAAGAGTTGGATTCGAAGTTGTTACATTAGATGGTCGTACAGGCCCACTTGCCTCCACCATTGTTTCAAGGTTTTGTCTCTCTCTCTCTCTGATTCATTGCTTCTAATTGTTGTTTAATCATATGGGTTTGTTGGCACTTAGCTGATAAGTCTCAATTCGATAATTAATTTATGAAATTATGTCTTTTGTATTTTTATTTTACTTTCAAGCATGAAAATTTGTGTGGAAAGTCATGAAATTATGTTTTGTTCATTTGTGGATTGTGCATGGCGATCTGTATTTGCTGTGAAATTTTGTTTCGAATTTTAATTCCCAACCCTTTGAGTTTTTCTTCATGTCTTGGCTTTCATGTCACGTTTTTTCATCTCCAGCTAAACCGTGTTTTTCTGTGGCAGCTCAGAGTCACACAGATGGCCAACTGTTGGGAAATACAGAGTCGATGTAGCATCGTTTGAGTCACTGGCATTGCCGGAGTTGCAGGTTGGTTGGTTTGTTTTGTTTGTTAGAGATGAGTGGATATAATTTGTGATAGACGAATTACCCTATTCGAGGTATTTTTCATGTTCGTTTTGGTTATAGAAGAGCAACGAATGCGCTGGAGTACTAAACGTCTTCACTATTAGATTTGTTACCTCCTTATTGGGACTACATTTGTTGGTTGAATAGTTATATTTTCATTGGATTTTTCAAAGCTGTTGTTTGAAGGTCTAAAGGCATGTGTTTTGTTATCAGGTCAGGGAAGATACTGATCTCTTTGTCATTGACGAAGTTGGTAAAATGGAATTGTTTAGTTCATCATTCTTCCCTGCTGTTCTAAAAGTTTTGGAATCAGATATACCACTTCTGGCTTCCATTCCGATTCCAAAATCTGGCCGTGATATACCTGCAGGTACACTTGCCTTACGCTGTTATATTTCTCGAAAATTTATAATTACTCGTAAATACGCTTACCTTGCATTGCACTGTTGGTATATTTCATACATTTCTGTTACCAACGACCTCTGGTTGATGAAAGGAGTTCTACAATTGATTATGGAAACATTAACTCAAAACACTTTCTTCTTGATAACTTGTAATTGTATAGGATTTTAAACTTTTGTGATGCAAAAAATTAGGATGCCTTTGTAAAATGTGTTAGAGCCACAAGCTAATGGATCCCTTGCCCCTTTCCTATTTTTTTTTTTTTCCCCCCTTCTTCTGAGAATATATTTGACTGTGTTGTCTAACTTTTGCAGTTGCGAGGTTGAAGAATCATCCAGGGGCAACCATTTTTACACTGAGCCAAAGTAACAGGGAAGCTATAAGAGAAAATGTCTCTTCCCAGTTAGTAGATGTACTATCTAAACATTAATATGCTGCAAAATGAGCCCGACTTTTTCATGTTGTGAGGAATACCCCGAGCAGCTAATATGACTAAGCATATTGTCTGTGAGGTATAAAATTTTGAGATGCAAATCTACTTAGTGGCAACTTATTTTCTTTTCTTAATGCTTCTGAAATGGGTAAAAGAAGTGAAAGAAAATTCATGCTTCATAGCAATGAAGACGAAAAGAAATCTTTAATATGGGAAGGATGAAAATAAGTGGAATGAAAAATATTCGCTTTATACAGGATGGTCTATGGAAATCGAACGAGCGGAGTAAGAAAATACAAACTTTACATAGCTGTTTAAAACCAATCCTGTACAATACTATATTGTAGTAGCCTCATAGCAATCTTCAACTCAGAAATACGGAAATGGATATACACAACCAAAGAATTGAAGAAAAGGAAAAGAAGATTATATAATTTACCAATCACAATGAAGAAAGAGAGTTTATGAACTCCGTTTATCATGTTCTGCAATTTTCAGCACCTCTTTTGCCATGGAGGAGAATGACCTAGCTGTATCTTGCATTTCTGTGGTTCTCAAGCTAATTCCCTGCCAATAAAGAAAGTAATTTTGTATGTAATGAAATTTCTGTGAATCTGTGCAAGACCTCTAATTACCCTTGAGTTTAGAACATTTTCCTTATGCAAGAGAGAGTCTTGCTTTACTATGCCCCATTAACCAAAAACTAGTGACAATCTGGAAATTACAGGGAGGGCTGTAGGACAATGGTTAAACATTACCTGCAACTTTTTCAAATTCTCATGCAGCTTACTTTCGGCCATTTTAGCAACACTTGATTCCTGCATCCGGAGGTAGAAACAAAACAAATGAACTTCATTCATCTTGATTATTAGAAGGTGTTATAATATGTAATCGTGGGATGCTTTTGCAAAATCCTAAAAGCTCATCAATGGGACTGGGAAGGCATAGAAATATCAGATGCCTATCCAACAATTTTATCGAGTTTTTATGCAATGAATGTACACTTACACCAGATAAAGAAAACCCATATTTCTTCTTAATTTGATCAACTGCACTGTTCTTATCATCCTGCTGCTCTTCCTTGATGTTAATATTTTTCTCATTCTTAACCTTCATATGTTTCAATGTACCTGAAAATGAAAACTTTCATCGCATCAGCAAATGAACAGGCTGCAGCGGGACAAAGCTTCCCTGGCAATAAGCTGAGGAGAGGATATCTATCATCTTTCACTCACCTTTAAAAGCCTGGAATTTGCTTGACAATTTCTGCTTATTCAGGTTTCCCAACATACCCCGTTCTTTTGGTTTTTCTCCAATACTATCATCCAGGTCGATATCATCTTCCAAACAAAGAAAACAAAAACAGTTAATCATCTTGAGGAAGCATTTGATATGAAATCAGTATGTTTTGAGTGCCAGCAAAACAGCTTTTAATGGAATACGGGTGACTAGGAACATAATTAAGGCATTTAATGTTGTACCTATGTTTAACTCAACCTCATCTTCTTCAAGTGCCAAGTTATCTGTATTCTCAGATTCACTTGGAAAATTAGCAATAGAAAATATTGTTGAAAGTTCTTCAATACTTTCTTTGGTATCTTCCGTTTCCACCTCAGGAGCCTGCTTCGTTTTGCTGCCCTTTACATCTTTAAGAACAGAACCAAATATACCCTACCACACCAAATACAATTATGGAAACCATGAGTTCCACAACAACAACTTGGTGACAGGAAGAGTTAGTACAAACAGTTTTATATCTAACTACATACCTTTTTCTTCTCCTTTTGGACAATGGGTCCAGACACAAGCCCTTCTTGTGAAAGTGTCTGATCGTTCCTGTAAACTTGGCTGACACAGTCCAAAAGCCTAGAAAGAAGTAAACCATAAAGCAAGACATTAACGTATTTAATCAATCAATCTAGACTTAACAGATTGAATTTGAGCTGTACTGTTTTCTTTTTATCCCTTTTAAACATTAGTACTCTTTACTTATTCATATTAGAGAAATGAAATCTACAGAAGGATCAAAGAAAAGAACATGATGCATATGTTTTGGAGTTAGTAATTATTGACAGGGACAGTAGAAGTTATATTTAGTGTCATATATATACCTAAGGAAATCCTTTTGTAGCAACACTGAGACAAAAAAGATTTCTTGATCTCCATTTACCTGAGAGAGGAATAAGGCAGTCATAAAACAAAAAAATTGTATCCTTAAAACAATTCAATTGAGATAGTGAAATTATGAGACTATACCATGACAAGTTCTCCATCCCATGAAGAGCAAACTAAAGTGTCGGATAATGAATTTGGTTTTGGCATAGAATATGTGAAACCTCTAATTGAAGTTTCCTTCAATAAGCTTAACTCCGGCAAGGATCTTACTTCGATTTTTCCACTAGTAAACAGCAGTATTAGGCCAACATCAGAGCCACTGTAGAATGTTGATGCCCAGCAACAAGAAGAGGAATTGAACTTCTTCTTGTAGAGCACCTTCTTAACTCCCTGAGACAGAAAGAAAAAGAAAGTGAATTATGTGTATCAAGCTATTTTTTTTTTTTTTTTTAACGTTTGTGCCTAGCTAAATAAGCTATAAATTTAGTACCTGAACAGCATGAATTAAGGAATATACATATGCCGCTTTTTCTGAACATAACAATAGAAACAACTGTTTGGGTATTACATTTTCTGCAGGACTCCCTTTGCTGAAATCTATACCATTTGATATATTTGCCCCTCTAGCTAATGCATCCTGCCCATCTGCACTCAGTCAAAGATGATTCTTTCACAGTGGTTCTTTATCATCTTAAGGTCACCAAAGTGCATATTGTAAGTTCAAACACTGGCCATCAATACATATTGCAACATGAAGATAGTAGTGCATTGCCTACCTAGAATTTGCATGAAATGAGCTCTGGACGGTTTGTTGGGATGAACTGTGTTAGTGCTCAGCATGTTTCCAGAATCACAATCAAGAGCCAAAACTGATGAATCCTTTGTTCCAACCACCAAAACATTCTTGTCAAAACCATGCAAATTGCAAGTTTCGAATTGCATAGATATGATGCCAGTACAAATTTCACTATCAAAGTGTTTTTGGTATAACACAGTGGGGCCTTCTATATCAACTAAGGAAACCTGCAAGGGAAATTGGTAGAATTATACTACTTATGAATCAGTTCTATCTAACACAATATTCTAACACATAAAGAGAGGAAGGGAAAGAAGAGTAAAACAAGACTCACATATCCTTTATCAGATCCAATAGCAAGATGTCGTGAAGTTTGGCTTATGTTTAGAGAGAGTATAGAACCATTAACCTTTATAACTTTAACACTATGGAAGATGTGGCTATTTCCTTTCTTCATAATACCTGGCGAAACAGACAGTAGAATGTCAGAAAGGTTACCCTGTTTAGAATGCAGTATTTCACTATAATGTTAAGCCTATGACCCATTAGATTTGCATATTCATATGAACTAATGAAAGATTCAGACTGGTCCCAAGGTAATAGCAAAACCACAGACCTCCTACAATTTAGATATGAATAACTGATTGTTAAAAGATCATAAACGAAGGTTAATTTGGCCTGCAACATTAAACATGGAGTTAATATATAGGCATTGAAACCTTTCCTAACTGATAAAAAGGGAAACTGTATCTTTAAATTTATGAGAAGGAATTAGTATCTTGCATTTTGTAAACTAATAATTTGAACTACGTTTTTAACGGAGAAAGTTGGTTATTGTCTAGGCTGTTCCCTTAAAATATTCCAATTAGTAGTAAGAGAACTCTCTAAATTTAAAAAACAGTGCGTAATTTTTCTACCTCATGGTTTCTATAACATGAAAGACTACAAGATATTGAAAGTTTCTGTGTAGACTTCTTATTAAAGATTCCTGCAACGGGATTTAGGAAACACTTGGCTGTAAATCTGAAAGCCAAATCATGTGCATACACATACCTGAAAAAGGCATACTGTTGTCCATGGCATGTAACTCAGATTTAAATTTGTAAATGCGAACCTGCGGATCATATACGAAGTAAAATTATTAAAAAATTATCCAAACATAAAAAACTTTATCATATTTAATTAAAAACATTAGCTGTGGCCCTTTACCATTCCATTTTGATCTCCAGAAACAAGAACTCGAGAGTTGCCATCGAAATACAGTGCTGTCAGCGCTACATCACTCAATGAAAAATCATTTTCACTCTGCATTAGAAAAACCAATAGAATAAGCAAAACCAAAACAGAATTATCCACTGCCTAATGAAAGTGAAATGAGTATGAATTCCTTGACTGGAAAGACGGAGACACACATCCACTTATGGGACTGTGGTACAGTCAATATGATTATGAAGTTAACAAAAAGAAAATCTGTCACGATAAATAAAGGAATTAGCAGTCATGCAGCTTGTAACAATAAACTTGTAATGCCTTGTAAAGAGTTACCTGTTGCTTTACTGATAAAATGGGGATAAAAATTGGACATGATACGTCCCAAAAGTTTATGGCTCCATCACTATGTCCGGTTATGAACAAGTTTTTAACCTTTGCAAATCCATGGGACTGTGGTACATCTTTTTGCTTTGTCTCAAAAGGAAGAAGAGATGGAGAACTTTTCGCCAGAAGCATGTAATCCTACATTATCCAAGTGTTAAATAAGATTATAACATGCTAAAGACAGAATGCATTCCTGTACAATTAGTTAAGTTGTATACAACGTTACCTCATCCGTAGAACTTAACATATATGATGGATTCTCGGCAATGAATTTAACTACGGTGACACTTGAATCAAAAAATGGAATCTTCACCATGATCTCCTTTGGGAGTGAAGGTGGAGACCGGGATTGGTATTGTAGAAGATACCTTTCTATCTGACCGTCATCATAAGCATAAACATGCCCAGACTTTCCAAGTAGAAAGAAAAAATCTTGTTTTTGCTTGCTTTGTTCACTAGAGCTTGAAATAATCTCCATGTCCATACATGGTTCAGACAAAGGTAGCACCAATT